TGTTGGTCAGGCTGGTCTTGAACTCCTGACCTCAGGTGATCCACCTGCCTCGGCCTCCCAAAGTGCTGGGATTACAAGCGTGAGCCACCGCGCCCGGCCCTTAGGACATTCTTAAGTAATGAAGCAGTTTTGAAAAGTGTTGGGACTTTTTGGAAAGTCAAATGAATTTGTGCATAGGGTCTTCCATATCAGACTTGCAGAATGAGGTAGATATTTAAATTATTGTTTAAATTAGATTTGGAATCTGTTTGTGAGGTGTGTATGTGTATGTGCTTCTGCCTTTTGTGAGATATGTATGTGAATATGTTTCTGACAGTAAGTCTCCTAGAATTGATGAGACCTTAGTTTAAACACCATTAACAGGTATATTGCCCCAAAATGGGTACTGACCTACATACCATGTCTATAATTATACTTATATAATTATAATTACCGTTATTTTTTCTTTCAACAAATTTTAAGCACCTACTATGTATCAGTCACTGTGCTAGGAGTTGGAAATATGAGGAAGACCATAACTCTCACAATGAGAATACAAGGAAGACCATCTCTCAAGAAAGGAACATCATAAAACATGTTTACTCTCAAGTCCTTGTCCTTATCAAAAATATCTTCAGATTGATGTCATTCTGAGAAAAGTGATTTCATACTGAAAAAAAAAAATCTACAAAAATAGTAAAACGTTTCTTCTCCATTTTCAGAACTTGGGGGCGGGGGCAGGTGTTTTCATCTACTTTCATCTTTGTCCTGGTAGAAATGATATGCTTAACATTTTGGTGAGGAAGGTCAGTCTCTAAGGCTACAGATGAGAAGATCGGTTACTGGATGTGTTCCTAACTTCAAAGTCAAATCCAAGAGCCTGAAAATAAAGGATAGAAGGAAAGGGAAACAAAGAAAAATTACCAGACAATGTGAAGACATTTTATGGAGAGGAAGAAAGAGTGAGCACAGGAAAAATCACAAAGGAGTATACGAAGAAAAGAAAGATAACAGTTATTAGTAAGTAAAGAGATAATCAAGTGATAATCTTTTCAGTGGCATGAACACCATAGTTTGTCACATCACTGGTCATTAGTGATTTGTGAGAAGCAGTGTCTCAACTATGTTTCTGTTACATTAATTATACCTGAAATAAAATCTTCGCACACTTATTGTTCCACGTATAGTTATTCCTATACTGTTTCATGAAAAAGTTAATAATGAATACCTATCGACTACTTAGTAGGTCCAATCAACATGCTAAATGCTTTATGTATATTGACTATTTTTAATATACAAACTCCATAAGATATATACTACTATTAGGCCAACTTATAGATACCAAAATTGTATACCACAGGACTTAATTCATCACATTTCTTTTCATATATCCCCCTTCTCCTCCCTCAATAAAAGCTTGACATTAGTCCCAAGTTAGGTACAGACAGTTTGCTGTGTAATTTTGGATAATTCTCTAAGCCTTCACTCTTCATCCACAAAATAGATATGACAAAATGGAGTATATGACAACATCGTTGTGAGGATTAAATGAAATAATTCACATAAAATCATTTTACTTATAGCTAAAACAAAATAACACTCAGTAAGTGAATTAAAAGAATTATTATTATAATCATTATTATTTTAGATGGCTGATTAACAATATTAAGCATTGTAATTTTTTTTTTCTTTTGAGACAGAGTCTCACTTTGTTGCCCAGGCTAGAGTGCAGTGGTGCAATCTTAGCTCACTGCAACCTCCTCCTCCAGGGGTTCAAGAAATTCTCCTGCCTCAGCCTCCTGAGTAGCTGGGATTACAGTTGCACACCACTATGCCCAGCTAATTTTTTTTGTATTTTTAGTAGAGATGGGGTTTCATCATATGGGTCAGGCTGGTGTCGAACTCCTAGCCT